CACTTGAAGTCAAAACTAGAAAAACAATCACTCTTATGCACTCATTGCAATAAGACAGGACACCTGATGAAGGATTGTTTTGAGATCAAGGGATATCCGGATTGGTACAAAGGTTCTAAAAGAAAGAAAAATGCCTCTCTGGACTCAAGATCCTCAAATGAGAAAAAGTTTGCTGGTAATACAAATTGTGAAGCAAATTTCAAAGATATAGGAGGAAATACTCCTTTTGATGAAGAAATGGACTCAGACTTCAAAGTTCTTCAGCAGATTGACCTTACAACCATTCAAGAATATCTGAAACATAGGAGCTCATCTAATCCAAACACAAGTCAAGCATCTGCAAATTTCAACATGGCAGGTATGATATATGCTTCACATGTTAATGAAAGTAAGAATTTTATTAAGGAAAAGATATGGATAATTGATTCAGGGGCATCTGATCATATGACTCATGATCTGGACATATTGAAGAATAAGACACATCTAAATAAGCCTATCAATGTTGCTTTACCTGATGGAAATGTAAAAAAGATTGATATCATTGGTGAAGTGCAGCTATCAAAACAGATTACTCTAAAAGGAGTAATGTATGTTCCTGGATTTCAACACAATCTGCTGTCTGTAGGTACATTGCTGAAAAACAATAAACTGACAACTTGTTTTGATGAATATGGATGTTATATTCAGGGCCTTTCAACTGAGAAATGGACAACCATTGGAAGGAAGAGATCTGAACTTTACATCTTTGAAGTTAAAGATGAAATAAATAGAATAGGTTTTGTTCATTTTGATTTGAATAATAAACATAATGTAATGACTACAAAGTGTTTAAGGAATAAATCTTGTAGTATTCCTGATCATGTCTGGCTCATCCACAACAGATTAGGCCATACATCCTTGTCAAAGTTGAAACATCTAAGTCTAGCAGATGATGTTGAGAATGTTAATAATCTGTCTTGTGAAGTCTGTATTATGGCAAAGCATCATAGACTACCTTTTGAAAGAAGTGAATCCATTGCTTTTAAAATCTTTGACCTTGTTCATATTGATTTATGGGGACCATATAAAGTAAAGTCCATGACTGGAGCTTCCTACTTTCTCACAATCCTTGATGATTGCAGTAGAAACACATGGACTTACTTATTAAGAGACAAAACTGAAGTACCCAACATTGTTTCTGGATTCATTGCTTATGTAGAAACAAACTTCTGTTCAAAAATAAGAATGATTCGATCTGATAATGGAACTGAAATAGCTCAGGCAGTGTGTTCTAAGATCTTTAGTGAAAAAGGAATTATTCATCAGAAAAGCATTCCAAATACTCCCCAACAAAATGGAAGAGTTGAAAGGAAACATCGACATCTACTTGATACAGCAAGATCCATAAGAATTCAAGCAAAGTTACCTAAAAGTTTCTGGGGAGAATGTGTACTTACAGCAACACATCTCATCAATCTTATGCCCTCATCTGTCATCAATTGGAAGATGCCATGTGAAGTATTGTTCAAACAAAAACCAACATATGAACATCTTAGGGTGTTTGGTTGCTTGTGTTATGCTCCTATAAAGACACCAGACAAATTGGAACCAAGGGCATGCAAAGGAGTTATGATAGGATATCCTTTTGGTCAAAAAGGATACAAGGTCTATGACCTTGAATCAAAGAAAATTATATTGAGCAGGGATGTAATATTCCATGAATCAATATTTCCTTTTGAAAGAGATGAATTATCAGAAACAACAAAAAATCTTCCATCTGTTGTGCCTTCAGGAGTATACAATGAAATGAATACACATGATAGTTCACTTCCATCTACCAGCAATGATGCAATCTCAACCATACATGAGATAACAGAAAATACTCCTGAACTACAACAAACACCTATAATACCAGTTCATCAAAGAAGGTCAAACATAACAAGGATCATCTTCCATAAATTACAAGACTACGTATGCAGAGATCTTCCATCTTCCATAATGACAACAGAATCTGCAAACACTTCTACAACCAAACATTTTGCAAATCTGATATGTTCATCCTTGAAGGGTTATGGGGATGATTACATAGCATCATTAGCTAATGTACTTTCAGTACATGAACCAGTTTCATACAACCAAGCAAAAATGGAAAAAAGATGGGTTATGGCAATGCAGCAAGAGCTAGATGCTCTTGAAAGAAATCACACATGGGAACTTACTCATTTACCAGATGTAAAGAAAGCTATTGGAGCTAAATGGGTATACAAAATAAAGTTCAGATCTGATGGAACCTTTGAGCGTTTCAAGGCAAGATTAGTGGCTAAAGGATACAATCAAATTAAAGGGAAAGATTTCAAACATACTTTCAGCCCTGTTGCAAAATTCACAACTGTAAGAGTTCTAATTGCCTTTGCAGCTTCTAACGGTTGGAATTTATACCAGTTGGACATCAACAATGCCTTCTTACACGGGTTCATTGATGAAGAAGTATACATGGAGGTTCCATATGGTTATGAACATGCAAAACCTGGACAAGTATGCAAACTTAAAAGATCTTTATATGGACTGAAACAAGCTTCAAGACAGTGGAATCTTGAGCTTACTAAGTTCTTAATTAAGCTTGGTTATCAACAATCAAAACAAGACTATTCTCTTTTCATTAAAAGGTCAAATGATACATTTACAGCAGTACTTGCTTATGTAGATGGTCTATTAATAACAGGGAATTCAGAAGAACAAATTACACAAGTGAAGAATGCTCTTCATGCAGCATTTACAATAAAGGATCTTGGTCATCTACGCTATTTTCTAGGAATAGAAGTAGCAAGAAATGATAAAGGGATCATCTTGAACCAAAGGAAATACATTTTGGATATATTACATGATACCAACATGGCAGATTGTAAACCAGCACTATTTCCTATGCCTACAGGATTAAAGCTTTCCACTGAAGAAAATGAGCTATTTGCTGAGCCTGAACAGTACAGAAGGTTGATTGGGAGATTGCTATATCTGAATCTAACTCGGCCAGATATATCATACACAGTTCAACAACTTAGTCAATTCCTGAATGCACCAAGGATCATACATATGCAGGCTGCTCTTTTACTGGTGGTCAGGGATGAAGAGAGAAATTGCAGAATACGTGAGCCGTTGCCTTACTTGTCAACAGGTTAAGGCAGAGCACCAACACCCAGCAGGGTTACTTCAACCACTTACCATTCCAGAATGGAAGTGGGAGCATGTTACCATGGACTTCGTGGTGGGTCTACCACGGACGGTTAGGAACTACGACGCAGTATGGGTGGTAGTCGATAGGCTGACCAAGAGCGCTCATTTCCTACCTATCAACACTACCTATACGCTCGAGCGGTTGGCCAAATTGTACACAGATGAGATTGTGAGACTGCATGGGGTTCCGGTTACTATAGTATCGGATAGGGACCCACGGTTCACATCACGGTTTTGGCCTAAGTTCCAGGAATCCATGGGTACGAAATTGAGGTTTAGCACCGCGTTTCATCCTCAAACGGATGGACAATCTGAACGGGTGATTCAGATCTTGGAGGACATGTTAAGGGCATGTGCCTTGGAGTTCCAGGGGAGCTGGGACAATCAGTTGGCTTTAGTGGAATTTGCCTATAACAACAGTTATCAGGCAAGTATAGGCATGCCTCCATACGAGGCATTGTATGGGAGGAAATGCCGGACACCATTGTGTTGGGATGAGGTCGGCGAGGCTAAGCTCGAGGGCACCGAGTTAGTCGAGATCACTAAGGAGAAGATAAAGATCATACAGGATAGGCTCAAGGCTGCCCAAGACCGACAGAAGAGCTATGCTGATAAACGTCGAAGGACGTTGGAGTTTGAGGTTGGTGACGAGGTATTTCTGAGGGTATCCCCTTGGAAAGGGATCATCAGGTTCCTCAGTCGGGGTAAGCTTAACCCACGTTACATAGGCCCGTTCAAAATCCTTGAAAGGATTGGGGTTGTAGCTTACCGACTTCAGTTGACTCCAGAGTTAGAAAAGATTCATAATGTATTTCATGTTTCTATGCTCAAGAAGTATGTGCGGGACCCGTCACATATTCTTGAGAAACCACCGGTAGAAATCCGAGAGGACCTACATTATACGGTACAGCCGGTAAAGATCATAGACCGACAGGTAAAGAAGCTAAGGAGCAAAGAGGTGCCGATGGTAAAGGTACTTTGGAAGAGTGATCGTGTCGAGGAGCAAACGTGGGAAGTGGAGACCCTAATGAGGGAACAATATCCATTTCTGTTTGATTAGACACATGGATTTCGGGGACGAAATCCCAAATAAGGGGGGTAGAACTTGTAACACCGCCCCCGAGTATTTGTACTGTACCAAATTATGTATTGAACCTTGAGAAATGTATAAAAGCATTTTTACGTGATTGTAAATTTTTATCATTTCTATTACGTGAATAGTAAAATTCACGTGGGGCCCACACCGGATGTGGGGCCGCCCGATATTATCGGGACCACATAGTATATTAATCTTGGACTAGATAATATGTATATGGTGATGGATATCCTAATTGGGCCTGGTAATGGCATAGAGATGACCGGTTGGTCAAATGGGGCCAGATTATCGGTATCGGCAAATTATCGGATAACAGCCCAAAAAGGGATCCCGGAGACTTCTAAATTAAAGTTGGGGAATGCATATTGATTCTAAGGTCCAATGAGGATTGGGAACAAGTGTTATATTTTATTTGACCCGATAAAATAAAATATACTTAAAACAGTCCGGAAAATACAACTTTCGGGACCGATCGTACACGTCGGGATTTAAAGGGATGACCTCCCACATGAGTGGGGGCCACCCCACGAAATTATATGAGACAAGGCATGGGTTTGGGCGTCCAAATGGGCAGGGTTTTTGCAGGGAAGGGCTGACTTGGGGGTTTTGACATCAAAAAGGACAAGGTAGGGCCATATTTTGGCTATCATTGAGGTATAAGCCAAAATAGAGCCATATCCCTCCCCCCTTAGCCCATATGTCCGACCAACCTAATCAATATTGAGAGAGAAGCTCTGCAAATATTCATTTTCCCCATTTCCATTCGAACCAAGCTCAAGAAGGAAGAAAAGGAAGTCCAAGGAGGATTAAAGAAAGGAAAAGCTAGGGAAAGTGTGAAGAATCAAGGTAATAACCTTGTAACAACTTTTCCTTAACTTCTTATATACCATATGACCAATATATCACATGAAGGACCCCTAGTATTGTTCTACACTTTTAGATGTGTAGAAAGAGGGGTTGGAAGGTGGTTCTAAGCCCAAGAACGGACTTAGAAGCCAAAGTGACCGGTTCGCCGGAAAATAACCTTTTGGAGGTTATTTGTATTACTATGGGTTTTATGATGATAAAACCTTGTTAGTAACTTGTCTAAGGTATTCGAGGAACTTTCACGGAGTTAAAAAGGTCGCCGGAGTTGTCGCCGGAGTTCGTTGAAGTTCGCCGGAGTTTCGTCGGAGCTAAATCGGGGAGGCTAGAACTTCATAAGCTTCATTAAGGTGAGAAGACGGCTTTATGCTTTATAACTTTTGCGTGAGGCATGAGATTACCTAAAGTAATCAGGAATATGTTTTGTGGGATGATTAAAGATAACCAAGTGTGTGTTTATGCTATGATTATACACAAAACATAGTTAAAAAGCATGTTATGTAGGTTTGGTGATTAAAAATGTGATAACATATTTTGTGTGATGATCCAGGGATCCAAAATGGTATTTTTGGATCAAGGACATCCAGAAGTATATGTGTATAAAATTTCAAGTTAATCGGACTCCGTTTGGGGGGTCAAAAGGGGCGTTGACCGCCAAGTCAACTGCCATACCCGATCGGGTATTGACACATACCCGACCGGGTATTTGTTGAAAATCAGCTTTGTGGACTACTGTCTCCTGTACTCGACCGAGTATGGGTTAATACTCGATCGAGTATTGGGTTATGCTCAAAACGGGCAGTTTTGAGCGGGTTAATGTGGGCCGTTCGGGTGGGACCCGCCCACGTTGGATCCTAAGGATTGTTATATGACTATAGGGCTAGGAATTGTCCATAGTTAAAGGAATGAAAGGTTAGCCATATCCAGGTTAGGATTTGGTAGAGAATAGAATGGGGATCGAGTACCCTTGGACGGTAAATGATCCAGAATACTCCAGGTGGGGTCGAGTACCCTTGGACGGTAAATGATCCAGAATACTCCAGGTGGGGTCGAGTACCCTTGGACGGTAAATGATCCAGAATACTCCAGGTGGGGTCGAGTACCCTTGGACGGTAAATGATCCAGAATACTCCAGGTGGGGCCGAGTACCCTTGGACGGTAAATGATCTTAAATACTCCAGGATGGGTTGAGTGCCTTGGACGGTAAATGATCCTAAAACACTCGGTAGTATGAATCAAAGTTAGACTATAGCTTGTGAGCTAGATAACCGGGGAAGGAGTGAGAAAAGTCAGGTAAGAACTTTATCTCTAAAAGACTCTTTAAAGTAAATGACCTACGGGTTGAGTATTTTACGAGTATATATACAGTATGTATCATCGGGTGGATGAGGGACATCTATATGTATATATCACCCTATTTTTGGGTCTCGTGTCTGAAACATTAGTTATTCTTCATATAGCCTGCTTGTCACTAGTACTTCTATGGAGTACTGACCCCTCCGGGGGCCCTCACATTTTTCAGGTTGAGGCTAGAGTCCTACTACCTGCACCTTTGCCTAGGGTGACTGATCGAGAAGGAAGACGTGGTTCGTGCTTCCATTCTTATTTCAAATGTATAAACCGCTCATGTATTTTTGAACAATATTTTCATTAAAACAGTTGGGGGCCTGCGTGCCCGTGTTTGCCACGTGTGGCTAAGTATCAAACATTTTATTATTCCGCATTTGTTTGATTATGATATTGATGTTGATTGTATGTGTTTACTAATCGGTTTGGCAATAGAATCAATCGGACGCCTTGTACAACTCAATAGGGATGAACTGTCGTTGTTCTTATCGGGTTGTACGGCGGTTGTCTACGTGGCTCGGATGCGGTCCGGGGCGTGACAATTAAGTGGTATCAGAGCCATCGATTTCTAAACTATATAATTAACCTCTCAATATGGTTATCCTCAAAAAGTTTTGAATAAAACCATGAGCAACAGTTTTTGTACTTAAGGAACCGTTGGAAACCAAGTTATTGACCTCTTATTGTTAAGACGGTACCCTTAACAGTTTGTTGGTCATAATGTTGGACCAAGGGGTGTCTTTTGTACTAATCCGTCAATTGACATTGAAACGAGTCTAATGACTCATTCCTTATTTCTTTCAGAAATGGAGGGTGGACGCAGGATAACTAGGAGGAACCCGACAGGGCATGTGCAGGGGGCCACCGGGCATGCCACTCGGGCGGAATCACGGACCTCTAGGGGTAGAGGCCGGGGCCAAAGCCGAGGAGGGGGCCGAGGCAGGGGTCGTGGGCGTTCTACCACGCCGACGACAAGTAGCACACGCGTCGGTTCCGTGCACCCGTCATGGGCCACCGAACCGGACGACTTCACCTATGCTCCAAGCACGGAGCAAGAGGAGACCCCGTACAACGGGGAGGACTTTGAGGAAGAAGATGAGGATGATGATCCTCATTATGACCGTATGAGTGAGGTACTGGAATGGTACCTCGAGAATAAGGCAAAGCGGGAACAGCGGCGCCAAGCTAGACAGGCTAGGCAAACCATGGGGCAGGGAAGCCGAGGTGCTTGTAGTGCTCCATCGGGGGCATTTGGAGGAGACACGATGGTGCGTATCTCCAAGTACCTCAAGGAGGCCAGGGCCTTGGGGTGCAAATCATTTGATGGCAAGGGCAACATATCTGAGGCCGCCGACTGGATTAAGAAGCTGAATGATGCTTCTAGGGACATGCAAATTTCACTCGACGTGAAGTTGAGGGTTGCCACCAGGTTACTAGAAGGGGTAGCCGCTGTATGGTGGGAAGGCGTGGAGGGGAAGTTCCACGGTGAAGCCACTTGGGAGGAATTCGAAGTGGAGTTCTACAATCAATACTACTCAACTTTTGAGGTCAATCTCAAAAGAAGAGAGTACACGAACCTGAAACAGGAGGATGGTTGCTCGGTGAGGCAATTGGAACAAAAGTTCCGTGACTTGGCACGATTCATCCCAGAATACTCATTGGATGAAAATCGTATGGCCAATCACTTTTGGGATGCTCTACAGTTGGACATCCGTGACCGGGCTACTTACCATCACAGTATGACATTTAGCCAAATCGTTGATCAGGGGCTCCTCGGGGAAGCCCAATGGAACGAGAGGAAGTTGAGGGACGCCGAGGAGGCGAAGAAAAGAAGATGGGGAAACGCTGGACCCCAAGACCACTCCCGGAAGCATCATGCTGGGGGTGGCAGTTCATTCAGGGCGCCGACACCACCGGCGAAAAGGAACAAAGGTTCAGGAGGGCAAGGGGCCAAACCAGGGAGTACATGGTCACCGAGGTGTGCAAACTGCGGCAGGAATCATGCGGGGAAGTGCAATGAACCACCCCGGTGTTACAAATGCGGTAGCACGAGCCACCTCAAATCCTCTTGTCCAATGCTGAACGGGGGAGGACCATCGGGAGCCATGGGAGGACCTACGACTAGTAGGGGACGTGCGGGGCCGTCTCAGGCCGGCACGGGAAGGAGCGGACCCACGGCTAGCAACGCCGCGTCCGTTAACCAAGGGAAGACCCAAGCACGGGTGTATGCAATGACCGAGGCTGATGCTCGGGCCAACCCGGACTCCATTGCAGGTAATCTCTTGATTTCACACGTATTTGATCATGTAATGGGTTGAAAAATCTCCAAAAATATGGAGGACCCGATCGGGTACTCCTATAGACCCGACCGGGTATAAGCTATGCTTCGAGTTTGAAGTGTGCACCCGTTCGGGCAGCCAAGGCAGGATGCCTTATTTTTGACATTTTGAGCAATACCCGATCGGGTATGGCTATATACTCGACCGGGTATGTGTATATTTTGAGCTTCGAAGTGTGTACTCGATCGAGCGTAGAAAACAGGGAGCTTTTATTTATGGATTTTGAGTGATACCCGACCGAGTATAGTATATACCCGACCGGGTATTGACATTTTGCCCGAATTCGAGGCTGGTACTCGACCGAGCAAGGATAACAGGGGGGTTTCCCCTTAAGAATTCGAGAGATACCCGACCGGGTAGCAGACCCTACCCGACCGGGTATAGGGTAATTCTAGGCTGAAATTTTTCCGTCCGGTCCTTTTCTGTCGGGACGACGACTAGGGTGTCTTACATGACTTATATATGTAGGAACACTAAAGATCAACGGTAGGGATGCGAGAATTCTCATCGATACCGGGGCACAACGTTCGTTTGTGAGCGAAGCGTTTGCCAAGGGATTGAACATGCCTTTGGTAGCAATGATGCAACCTTTGCTGGTCTCTACGCCATTGGGAGATGATGTAGAGCGGAAACACTACTATCCCTCGTGTAACGTAGGGATAGGGGGGCACTGTCTAACGGGTGACCTTGTGCCGTTAGATATGCTCGAGTTTGATGCTATACTTGGCATGGATTGGCTCGAAAAACACCATGCGAAGGTAGATTGCTACACCAAGGTGTTAGAACTAAAGGATGGAGAAGGAAACACTCTATGCTTCGAGGGAGATAGAGGGAAATTCAACCCTTGTATCATATCGGCCATAAGAGCAAGACGTATGATGAGGAAAGGGTGTCAAACATACTTGGCCTATGTCATAGGCAAGGAGGGCAAGGAGAAGAGTCTCACTGAGGTGAGAGTGGTGAGTGAGTACCCAGAAGTTTTCCCTGAAGAACTCCCAGGACTCCCACCAGATCGAGAAATTGAGTTCACCATTGAGGTAGAACCCGGTACAAAACCCATCTCGATTCCTCCATATCGGATGGCACCGGCTGAACTTCAAGAGTTGAAGGTGCAATTGGAAGAATTGTTGGACAGTGGATTCATCAGGCCGAGTCATGCACCATGGGGAGCACCGGTACTATTTGTAAAGAAGAAGGATGGTACACTCAGAATGTGTATCGACTACCGTCAGTTGAACAAGGTCACGATAAAGAACAAATATCCTTTGCCAAGGATCGATGACTTGTTTGATCAACTACGGGGGGCAACGGTGTTCTCTAAGATTGACTTGAGGTCAGGCTACCATCAACTGAAGATCAAGGAGAGTGACATACCCAAAAGTGCATTCCGTACGCGGTATGGTCACTATGAGTTTCTAGTAATGTCGTTTGGGCTTACGAACGCCCCCGCGGCATTCATGGACCTCATGAACCGAGTATTTCACCAATACTTAGACCAGTTCGTCATAGTGTTCATTGATGACATTTTGATATACTCCATGAATGAAGAGGAACACGAAAAACATCTAAGGCTTGTGCTTGAAACACTGCGGGAGAAGCAACTCTTTGCCAAATTCTCTAAATGTGAATTTTGGCTTGGGGAGATCGGTTTTCTCGGGCATGTGGTATCGGGCTCGGGCATTTCAGTTGATAACTCCAAGATTGAGGCGGTCACTAATTGGGAGAGGCCCAAGAACGTGAAGGAGATAAGGAGTTTCCTCGGTTTAGCGGGGTATTACCGCAAATTCGTGGAAAAGTTCTCGGTGATAGCATCTCCACTCACGAAGCTCACTAAAAAGGGGGCTAAGTTTGTGTGGGATGACAAGTGTGAGAAGGGGTTTCTTGAGCTAAAGAAACGTTTGACCGAAGCACCAGTGCTTGCCTTGCCCGTGCAAGGGTTAGGGTATGACATCTACAGCGATGCTAGCATTCAGGGACTGGGATGTGTACTGATGCAATCAGGGAAGGTAATTGCTTATGCTTCTCGGCAGTTGAGGAAGCATGAAGTAAACTACCCCACACATGATCTGGAGCTAGGTGCTGTGGTATTTGCATTGAAGATTTGGAGGCACTACCTCTACGGGGAGTTGTGTCACATTTACACCGACCACAAGAGCTTGAAGTATGTGTTCACTCAGAAAGAGTTGAACATGAGGCAGAGGAGATGGATGGAGTTGATTAAGGATTACAACTTGATCATTGACTATCATCCAGGCAAGGCTAATGTTGTAGCTGATGCACTGAGCAGGAAGAGCTCATCATCAGGGGTTTTACTCACATGCTTACGGGCACTGAGGGCACGCGTGGAGGTATCCACGGATGGGGCGCTATTGGCCAGATTTGAGGTGAGACCCACCTTATTAGATGAAATCAGAACACGTCAAGGCAATGACGAGGAATTTCAGAAAATCCGGGAACGGATGCTTGAGGGGCCCGTCGAGGGTTTCCGTGAGAGAGAAGATGGACTTCTACTATTCAAGGAACGAGTGTGTGTACCATCGGATGAGGAGCTCCGAAAATCTATCCTTGAGGAGGCTCACTCATCTGCGTATGCCATGCACCCGGGCGGTACAAAGATGTACCGGGACTTGAAGGAAAGTTACTGGTGGTCAGGGATGAAGAGAGAAATTGCAGAATACGTGAGCCGTTGCCTTACTTGTCAACAGGTTAAGGCAGAGCACCAACACCCAGCAGGGTTACTTCAACCACTTACCATTCCAGAATGGAAGTGGGAGCATGTTACCATGGACTTCGTGGTGGGTCTACCACGGACGGTTAGGAACTACGACGCAGTATGGGTGGTAGTCGATAGGCTGACCAAGAGCGCTCATTTCCTACCTATCAACACTACCTATACGCTCGAGCGGTTGGCCAAATTGTACACAGATGAGATTGTGAGACTGCATGGGGTTCCGGTTACTATAGTATCGGATAGGGACCCACGGTTCACATCACGGTTTTGGCCTAAGTTCCAGGAATCCATGGGTACGAAATTGAGGTTTAGCACCGCGTTTCATCCTCAAACGGATGGACAATCTGAACGGGTGATTCAGATCTTGGAGGACATGTTAAGGGCATGTGCCTTGGAGTTCCAGGGGAGCTGGGACAATCAGTTGGCTTTAGTGGAATTTGCCTATAACAACAGTTATCAGGCAAGTATAGGCATGCCTCCATACGAGGCATTGTATGGGAGGAAATGCCGGACACCATTGTGTTGGGATGAGGTCGGCGAGGCTAAGCTCGAGGGCACCGAGTTAGTCGAGATCACTAAGGAGAAGATAAAGATCATACAGGATAGGCTCAAGGCTGCCCAAGACCGACAGAAGAGCTATGCTGATAAACGTCGAAGGACGTTGGAGTTTGAGGTTGGTGACGAGGTATTTCTGAGGGTATCCCCTTGGAAAGGGATCATCAGGTTCCTCAGTCGGGGTAAGCTTAACCCACGTTACATAGGCCCGTTCAAAATCCTTGAAAGGATTGGGGTTGTAGCTTACCGACTTCAGTTGACTCCAGAGTTAGAAAAGATTCATAATGTATTTCATGTTTCTATGCTCAAGAAGTATGTGCGGGACCCGTCACATATTCTTGAGAAACCACCGGTAGAAATCCGAGAGGACCTACATTATACGGTACAGCCGGTAAAGATCATAGACCGACAGGTAAAGAAGCTAAGGAGCAAAGAGGTGCCGATGGTAAAGGTACTTTGGAAGAGTGATCGTGTCGAGGAGCAAACGTGGGAAGTGGAGACCCTAATGAGGGAACAATATCCATTTCTGTTTGATTAGACACATGGATTTCGGGGACGAAATCCCAAATAAGGGGGGTAGAACTTGTAACACCGCCCCCGAGTATTTGTACTGTACCAAATTATGTATTGAACCTTGAGAAATGTATAAAAGCATTTTTACGTGATTGTAAATTTTTATCATTTCTATTACGTGAATAGTAAAATTCACGTGGGGCCCACACCGGATGTGGGGCCGCCCGATATTATCGGGACCACATAGTATATTAATCTTGGACTAGATAATATGTATATGGTGATGGATATCCTAATTGGGCCTGGTAATGGCATAGAGATGACCGGTTGGTCAAATGGGGCCAGATTATCGGTATCGGCAAATTATCGGATAACAGCCCAAAAAGGGATCCCGGAGACTTCTAAATTAAAGTTGGGGAATGCATATTGATTCTAAGGTCCAATGAGGATTGGGAACAAGTGTTATATTTTATTTGACCCGATAAAATAAAATATACTTAAAACAGTCCGGAAAATACAACTTTCGGGACCGATCGTACACGTCGGGATTTAAAGGGATGACCTCCCACATGAGTGGGGGCCACCCCACGAAATTATATGAGACAAGGCATGGGTTTGGGCGTCCAAATGGGCAGGGTTTTTGCAGGGAAGGGCTGACTTGGGGGTTTTGACATCAAAAAGGACAAGGTAGGGCCATATTTTGGCTATCATTGAGGTATAAGCCAAAATAGAGCCATATCCCTCCCCCCTTAGCCCATATGTCCGACCAACCTAATCAATATTGAGAGAGAAGCTCTGCAAATATTCATTTTCCCCATTTCCATTCGAACCAAGCTCAAGAAGGAAGAAAAGGAAGTCCAAGGAGGATTAAAGAAAGGAAAAGCTAGGGAAAGTGTGAAGAATCAAGGTAATAACCTTGTAACAACTTTTCCTTAACTTCTTATATACCATATGACCAATATATCACATGAAGGACCCCTAGTATTGTTCTACACTTTTAGATGTGTAGAAAGAGGGGTTGGAAGGTGGTTCTAAGCCCAAGAACGGACTTAGAAGCCAAAGTGACCGGTTCGCCGGAAAATAACCTTTTGGAGGTTATTTGTATTACTATGGGTTTTATGATGATAAAACCTTGTTAGTAACTTGTCTAAGGTATTCGAGGAACTTTCACGGAGTTAAAAAGGTCGCCGGAGTTGTCGCCGGAGTTCGTTGAAGTTCGCCGGAGTTTCGTCGGAGCTAAATCGGGGAGGCTAGAACTTCATAAGCTTCATTAAGGTGAGAAGACGGCTTTATGCTTTATAACTTTTGCGTGAGGCATGAGATTACCTAAAGTAATCAGGAATATGTTTTGTGGGATGATTAAAGATAACCAAGTGTGTGTTTATGCTATGATTATACACAAAACATAGTTAAAAAGCATGTTATGTAGGTTTGGTGATTAAAAATGTGATAACATATTTTGTGTGATGATCCAGGGATCCAAAATGGTATTTTTGGATCAAGGACATCCAGAAGTATATGTGTATAAAATTTCAAGTTAATCGGACTCCGTTTGGGGGGTCAAAAGGGGCGTTGACCGCCAAGTCAACTGCCATACCCGATCGGGTATTGACACATACCCGACCGGGTATTTGTTGAAAATCAGCTTTGTGGACTACTGTCTCCTGTACTCGACCGAGTATGGGTTAATACTCGATCGAGTATTGGGTTATGCTCAAAACGGGCAGTTTTGAGCGGGTTAATGTGGGCCGTTCGGGTGGGACCCGCCCACGTTGGATCCTAAGGATTGTTATATGACTATAGGGCTAGGAATTGTCCATAGTTAAAGGAATGAAAGGTTAGCCATATCCAGGTTAGGATTTGGTAGAGAATAGAATGGGGATCGAGTACCCTTGGACGGTAAATGATCCAGAATACTCCAGGTGGGGTCGAGTACCCTTGGACGGTAAATGATCCAGAATACTCCAGGTGGGGTCGAGTACCCTTGGACGGTAAATGATCCAGAATACTCCAGGTGGGGTCGAGTACCCTTGGACGGTAAATGATCCAGAATACTCCAGGTGGGGCCGAGTACCCTTGGACGGTAAATGATCTTAAATACTCCAGGATGGGTTGAGTGCCTTGGACGGTAAATGATCCTAAAACACTCGGTAGTATGAATCAAAGTTAGACTATAGCTTGTGAGCTAGATAACCGGGGAAGGAGTGAGAAAAGTCAGGTAAGAACTTTATCTCTAAAAGACTCTTTAAAGTAAATGACCTACGGGTTGAGTATTTTACGAGTATATATACAGTATGTATCATCGGGTGGATGAGGGACATCTATATGTATATATCACCCTATTTTTGGGTCTCGTGTCTGAAACATTAGTTATTCTTCATATAGCCTGCTTGTCACTAGTACTTCTATGGAGTACTGACCCCTCCGGGGGCCCTCACATTTTTCAGGTTGAGGCTAGAGTCCTACTACCTGCACCTTTGCCTAGGGTGACTGATCGAGAAGGAAGACGTGGTTCGTGCTTCCATTCTTATTTCAAATGTATAAACCGCTCATGTATTTTTGAACAATATTTTCATTAAAACAGTTGGGGGCCTGCGTGCCCGTGTTTGCCACGTGTGGCTAAGTATCAAACATTTTATTATTCCGCATTTGTTTGATTATGATATTGATGTTGATTGTATGTGTTTACTAATCGGTTTGGCAATAGAATCAATCGGACGCCTTGTACAACTCAATAGGGATGAACTGTCGTTGTTCTTATCGGGTTGTACGGCGGTTGTCTACGTGGCTCGGATGCGGTCCGGGGCGTGACAATTAAGTGGTATCAGAGCCATCGATTTCTAAACTATATAATTAACCTCTCAATATGGTTATCCTCAAAAAGTTTTGAATAAAACCATGAGCAACAGTTTTTGTACTTAAGGAACCGTTGGAAACCAAGTTATTGACCTCTTATTGTTAAGACGGTACCCTTAACAGTTTGTTGGTCATAATGTTGGACCAAGGGGTGTCTTTTGTACTAATCCGTCAATTGACATTGAAACGAGTCTAATGACTCATTCCTTATTTCTTTCAGAAATGGAGGGTGGACGCAGGATAACTAGGAGGAACCCGACAGGGCATGTGCAGGGGGCCACCGGGCATGCCACTCGGGCGGAATCACGGACCTCTAGGGGTAGAGGCCGGGGCCAAAGCCGAGGAGGGGGCCGAGGCAGGGGTCGTGGGCGTTCTACCACGCCGACGACAAGTAGCACACGCGTCGGTTCCGTGCACCCGTCATGGGCCACCGAACCGGACGACTTCACCTATGCTCCAAGCACGGAGCAAGAGGAGACCCCGTACAACGGGGAGGACTTTGAGGAAGAAGATGAGGATGATGATCCTCATTATGACCGTATTTATGAATAAACTTAGTATTTTATTATTCAGGTCTTATTATTCTTACATGTACATGTTCTTTCCATATTACTCCCTATTGATCAATAATGTTATTATGATAACACAAAAATGATGATGATGATGATGATGATAAAAATAATAATAATAATAATAATAATAATAATAATAATTCCATGTTTAACTGGTCTTCTAAAAATAATCATAGGAAATTCATGTCAATCTTGTGGGCGTCGTGCGTACCCAAATTCTTTCCTAATTCAACCCAACTTGCCTTGTTTCCTTTAAATAACACCCCTAACCCTAATTAAGGGGGGATGAGACTTAGAGAGAGTTTAAGAACGAATTTAGAGAGCTTTTCAGCCTGATTTCTTCAACTCTTTAAGATTCTTTGTAAGTTTCTACTTTTTTATTAATGACAATTATTTCTATTTTTCCCAATTCTATTGATTCTTCAATCATGAGTCGGGAGTAGTTTTAATTAGGAATTTGGGGTTGATGAAGGGGTTTATCATGATGTATGGCTAGTTTCTTGATGATTTAATTGCATGAATGTCGTTTAATTTGTGTTTGAACAATTAAACTGATATCTTTTGTAACCTAGAATGGCCACTAGAATTACAATTGCACATAGAATAAATTAAGAGAGATCTAATTTGTTCTAGGACACATTCACGCACACTTAATCGTTCGCTAAGAGATTAGTAGCGATTAAGGGGCTGTAAGCTCGTTCGTCTTGGCAATAATATAGGATCATATCGCACGAGAGATCAGCCTGGTCCCCTAAATTATTGTACTCTACGCCGCGAGAGTGGTAAGAACTTAGTATTGATTAGCTAGGCTCAATTAAATTAAATTCATGTAATTAGGCCTGATCTGCCAGAAATCTGATTACCCCGGAATCAATCCCTGTTCCCTTCGTCGTTAATCAAGAAGAACCCAAATCTTTATTTTTATTCGCTCATTCGCATTAGTTTAATTTCCATTCAACCAACCAATCTCGCATGACGCATTTATTTTATTTTATTTTATTTTTAATCGCTGAATTTAGTTAATCTTTAATTCCCTTTTGTCCGTCCCTGTGGATACGATACTCGTACTTTCACCACTATTTTACTATTAATTTAAGTGCGAGAAAACTCACATCAGCCCTCACATTTTTCAGGTTAAGGCTAGAGTCCTACTACCTGCACCTTTGCCTAGGGTGACTGATCAAGAAGGAAGATGTGGTTCGTGCTTCCATTCTTATTCAAAATTATAAACTGCTCATGGATATTTGAACAATGTTTTCCTTTAAAATAGTTGGGGGCCTGCGTGCTCATGTTTGCCACGTGTGGCTAAATATCAGACATATTATTTCCGCATTTGTTTGACTAGGATATTGATGTTGATTGTATGTGTTTACTAATCGGTTTGGCAATAGAATCTATCGGACGCCTTGTATGATTCAATTAGGATGAACAAATGTTGTTCTTATCGGGTTGTACGGCGGTTGTCTACGTGGCTCGGATGCGGTCCGGGGCGTGACAATGTGTGAATAAGCTTAATCCCTTTTTAGACCAAGCATATCCAATGCTTTAATAGTTAAAAATCTGATGGTAATTTTATGTTTTATACGTAATATATTATTTCAAGGCTTTAGTAATATATTTTATTCCATTATCTATGTTCATAATGAAATTTAAGCAGTTTTTTCACATTAAATGGGCTGATGTACGGCTAAGACATGTTTTCGTTCTACTGATAGGGTACAATTGAGTGATAGTCATTTGTTTGTTTCCAAAACTTTTTGTTTAATATTTGGATTTTAAGTTTGAAATTGGTCCTTTTATGGACGATTTGTGAAAAAAATAGGTTAAAGGTGATTGTTTTTAGGAGCTAATACACCGAGTATATCAATGAGAGTTCTGGTAGATGTGAAATTGAATCAAATGTATCTCTTTAGGTCATATTAGCTCCAACTCATTTTCAACCACTCTTAAAAATGTGTCACCATTTACATATATTATAGTGAACTTTATCAAATTGTACACTTCACAGAGTAGTTGGAAACATAAATCACTAATCTCTATTGATTTGAATTGACATCAACGTGTGTATATTCTGGTTTGATCAATGTTTCTTGGTGGTTGCAGCTTCCAGAATCCAATAATGTAGATCCTTGTGAAACCTTTATTGGGAAGACAGTATTTTGAAGTTCAGAGTAGTCACACCAATGATAAAATCAATTCCAAGAAAATGAGGTACAATTCACGCTCCGTCTCATTTTCCTTATTCAAAATATAAAGAGAATTTAAATACTCGACTTCTATACTAACAACTTATTTATTTTCTCATCAAGAAAAATACTTTCATCAAAATATGTATGCATGTATGTATGTGTATGTCAGTATGTATGTATGTATGTATGTATGTATGTATGCATGTATGTATGTATGCATGTATGTATGTATGAATGTATGTATGCATGTATGCATGTATGTATGTATGTATGCATGTATGTATGTATGTATGCATGTATGTATGTATGTATGTATGTATGTATGTATGTATGTATGTATGTATGCATGTATGTATGTATGTATGTATGTATGTATGTATGTATGTATGTATGAATGCATGTATGCATGTATGTATGGATGTATGTATGTATGTATGAATGTATGTATGCATGTATGCATGGATGTATGTATGTATGCATGCATGCATGCATGCATGCATGTATGTATGTATGTATGTATGCATGTATGTATGTATGTATGTATGCATGTATGTATGCATGCATGCATGCATGCATGTATGTATGTATGTATGTATGCATGCATGTATGTATGTATGTATGTATGTATGTATGTATGTATGTATGCATGCATGCATGTATGTATGCATGCATGTATGCATGTATGTATGCATGCATGTATGTATGCATGCATGTATGTATGCATGCATGTATGTATGCATGTATGCATGTATGTATGTATGTATGTATGCATGTATGTATGCATGTATGTATGCATGTATGTATGCATGTATGTATGCATGTATGTATGTATGTATGTATTCGTGTGTGTGTTTAAGTTGTTTTTGAGATTTCTACTATGATTAGAGTGATAAAACATTGAATACATAAATAAATTGAAGCTCAAAATACTCTGATTTTTTATATATAATGTTGATAGTACCTTTATCAAAATTTTGGTTGTGTATATGCAGCTGAAATAAAATTTCTTCATTGGAATATTACAGATAAAAATGAGTTTAGCTCTAAACTTTTATTAAAGATTAGATGTGGAGCTAGATAGACGCATTGTTCGGTAGGTTCTATTTGTTAAAATATATGTGATCTTTGGTACTAATATAACTTTTTATATAAAGTTTGTGGTATATGATCAAAAATATATATAAAGTTTGTAGTATATATATTACATGTGCATGTTTGGGGTATTTAACTCACCCCTCCAAAGTTTGGAATATATTTATATTATTTTCCCCATAGATTATAGTATATTTATATATAGTCACAAGTTTTATTTTAGTAATATTTTAGGGAAAACTACATGTATTAAATTCATCATATTCTATGATATCTCTAAGAATACTTTAACGTACCTAGATCAATTAAATATTATAGTGGTATTTTCTTCAAAACAAAGATATTATGACCAAATTAAAGTTACCATGAGTATAGTGTCATAATCACTTAATTAAGTGTAAAACATGAACATAAATTACAACGTCTAAAGTCACTATTAGAATCACTACATTTAGGAGATCACATGTGTTGAAATAACTTTTATTTTACTCTTAAATATATTATTATTTCTATTATATTACAATGGACTATTCAGACATATGGGGAAACAATTAACGAAATGATAAATTAATGACATACTCCCTTCGTTCTTTAAAATTTTTCCCGGTTTGACTGGGATCGTAGTTTAAGAAAGTGAAAATAAAGAGGAAATGTGTGGTTGTGGTTAAGCAAGAAAAAGGTAAACAAATATTAGTCACACAAAACTTTCAAAAAAGGGAAATGGGAAGAAGTTTTTTGGATGTTCCAAAAAGGTAAGTGACATGAATTTTAAGGGACAAAGAGAGTACATTTTATGTAATAAATGCCTCGCTTGTTGGCCTTAAGACACTTTTTTATGTGCTCATAACCTATTATAATATCTACTCCAATTAGTCGTACAACATTTAAAATATCTAACATTTGAAAACGGCGGCGATTGAACTAGTCCAACAAAGATGTAATTCATGTATTATTTACCAACTTAAAATGAAAGACATTGTGAGGACTCTATTTCTCACTAGACTTAAGCCATTTGGTAACATTGTAATTGGCAGAATCGGCTACATTTGTTGAAATTGATGAATTTTTTGTTGAAGTGGTTGAATTGGATGAATCAGTTGAATCATAGAAAAAAAAATATATTATTGATAAAATAAAATAAAAACTATATGAAAAATAGCTAAAATAGTCCTTTTATAGTAACTTAAGCAAATCTAGGCATGTAAATGGGTTGGAGGTGGGCTAGGTAATGCAGGACCCGAACCCGGACCCGCCCCGTGACATAACTAGGGGGATCCGCCTGGCCTCATGACCTGCACAGGACATTAGATGTTGGCCCATGAACCGCCTCATGCGGGGCCGGTTCGCCCTGCATCAATCTAATAGCTAGTACACATTTCTAATTGTGTGAAGTTTGTATAGCTTGAATTTAAATAAAGTTTAATAAAATTTAATAATTATAAAAAATAAATATAACAAACCAATTCACAAAGTCACAATACAATAAATGAATAAATTTGATAATTTACTTTTCATCATATAGTTCAGAAGGTAAATATTAATATAGAGATTACCTTCAATAGGACTAAAGTTTACCTAAAAAGCACAAATAGGACTACTACTTTTAAATTCTCTTGAGGTAGGACTAAACATTGATTTCTACCTTAAATACCTCTAAGGGTATTAATTTACAATGAAATGTCTCAATTCATTTTAAAATAATAAAAAATAATTAAAATTGTAAAAAATAATAAAGATCATAAAAAATAATAAAAATTAATAACATAATTATAAAATATGATAGTAATTTTTTTAAAAACAAATATTTCTTTTTAAATTAATAAAAAATAGTTAAAACCCATGAAATATACAAAAAAATATGGATACCTTTCCCACCGCCTCCTAGTACCAGCACCTCCGTTCGGTGAAAATTCTACCATTTTTTTTGTAAAAAGTGCCATATTTTCTAAAAATGCCAAGCAAATGACATTATTACTCTTCATAATGCCAAAATTTTCTTTGAATCTGCCATTATTATGGCATTACTAAAAATGTGGCAGATTTTCAACCAGTGATGGGAGTTGGTGATGCTGGGGGTGGCAGAGGCGGTGGTGTTTTTTTTACGTTTTTTTTATTTTTAATTTTTTTTTTAAAAATTAATTTTTGTATTTAATAGATATTTTATAGTTTTTTATATTTTTTTATAATTTGCTATTATTTTTATTAGTTTTTTATGATTTTATTATTACTTAAAATATTTCAAAAGAAACAAGATAGGGTATATTTGTCCAAACACACATAAATAATCCTACCAAGGGGGAATTTAAAAGATGTAGTCTTATTTGTGCTCTTAGGTCACTTTTTGTCCTATTTAGATAATTCAATGATATTAATATACTAAAATATCAAGGAATTCATAAATTATTACTCTGTCAAACTCAAAAACAAAATCATGAATACAATATTTCATTTTATACTTTATTCTTTAGAAAAAAAAGACTGTCTCACACAAATTGAAAATTTGAAAATATAGAAAAGCACCACACATGATTAGATTAGATAAACACATAATTCTAAAAATGATCATTACATCAACGAGTAGGTCAGGTAACTTTGTTGACTAAAAAGCATAATAATAATTCCATGTGATACATGTAACTTTTTTTTTCAAACAAAGAGATTTTATTGATAAAAAGAAAGACATTACAAAGCACATTACAAAGCGATAAGAAAAATGGAAAAACATTACAAAAGTAAATAAAGAGGAAACTAAAAAAAAGGAAATAAATTAAAACAACTAATCCCACGGGAATTCGATTGAGACCTTGTACTCATGCTATGCCGCCTTTTGTTCTTCTAAGTTATTCGGTAAATTTTAAGTTGCGTGTTCAAGTTGTCCGTTGGCAAGCAATTTTCTGAATTTACGAAATTGGCTTTGCGACAAAATTCTTTATTGAATTAGGACTTCCTAATTTCTTCTAGGTATGAAATAGGAGGATGACGATCACTTTCAGTTGCGTGCCTCAAGAAGTCATCAGTGAAGATGGAGTCATCCGAATAATCAAAATCATCAGAGGAACATGAGTAAGCCTGGATCAGTGGCAGCTGGAGTTGTTTCCCAGAAGAGAAGGCATGTTCATTATCGGTAGATATTGCCTGTATTTGTTGATGGAAAATCGGTT